CTCATTTCATTGGCTAACTCGCTCACTCGTACCATTATTGTTACCAAGCTACTTATGTGAAGAAGCCGGTGTTTGCTTCAACTCAAAGATTATAGATCACCGTAAAGAATTTTAAAAAAAGTCACGGTAAATAAAATTAAAGACATGAAAAACCGAGTAAAAATCAAGACCAACTGATTTAATTTGTCAGGTAAATACATACGTTTTTGTTTACAGTTTTCACCTCGTTACTCAAACACTTTTAAGAAGGCGTTCAGTGTACTTGAACCCGACTCCGAAATTGTGTTTTTTCTCTGTTGTAGTGTCGAACGCTTATAAAAATTCAAATATCATTACGCTTAAACTGAGCACCTTCCTTGACTTTTTGTCCGCGGGCAGGTACATATATCTCTAAAAACACGGGGATGTTATGGTTGTTGTCTCAATAGCGAGAAATTTAACCCCAAAAACTCAAGAGCTACCGTTTGAAATTCTCGCGGTTCTTGACACTTCTATCGGTCAGGGCTCGGCGGGCGAGAGTCAAAGATTTACCTCTTTCAAAGACGGTTAATTTTATGATAACTTATGCTCAGTGCAAAATTATTGCTACGTTTTAACGTAAAAACGCTTTGAAACTATCTGGAGATTCGGTAAAGGTAAAGCATGGTATTTCATGACAGCGACAATTTCTTCACTATACACAGCTTGCAGATATCAAATTTTGTTGCCATGCCTGTGTAAAGCAACAAGCAAAATATGTTTTGTTCTATTTTCATTAAAGTTTGATGAGCCTTCACAATAAGTTGTAATGACCAATCATTACAGGTGGCGATATGTGGTTGATGGTGGCTTTGAGAACAAATTGCCACCGGCTAAAACTTGTCAGCTGGTCCAATTTAAAGCCACATTGAGCGTGTAGTAAGATTAATGAAAATAATTTTTTTTGCCTAACTCGTAAAACACGATCGAAAATTTCCGTGACACCTCATTTTAGCTTACTTCTTTTGAAAATGTTCCAAAGAGGAAAAAAAGATAAAAAAAAAATACAGTACCTTTCTATAATACAACACACAACGATTTAATACCATAGCTGTTTTGTTCCCAGGGTTTTCACACCCTTGACTTGAAAGCTTTTGAGTTCATTTGAGTTTTCAACTACCAACAGGTTTTTTAATACTAGTGCGATTAAACTAAGCTGTTGTGGTCCCCTCAGAGTGACTCTATTTAAATACAGTCGAGCAGGATTAACAAGCATCCGTTCAGATGTTGAAATTCGCGCTAACATCTAGAAAGCTCCTCCTCCAAGGTCATATTCAAACGTTCTAAGTCGCTCTTTTAATTTCCTTGGAACTGAGAGATTATCTGCATATCTGCTACTAATAAAGCCCAGTATCTTCAGAAAAGAATAGGCAATCAACTTTGGAAAACAGCCGCGAAAACAATAGTGGTATCCCACACTTAAAATTCTCCTGATGAACATCCATTGTATGTTCCTAAGGATTACTAATATAAAATTGTTTTAATACAAGGCGTAAAGAGGGAGTCGTATCTCCGATCGACAAGCAAGACTTTGGGCAGTTTCTAAAGCTTATTTGAATTCCAAACTTGTCAATTTGTTGTTGTGACAATATTTGCTTGCAGGCAGTCGTAAAATGATTGTTTTCTCGAAAGTGATTGTTTTCTCCACTTGTGAACAAAACACAACCGCCCCCTTCCTTCATCTGCAGGTCGTACTTAACACCGCACCCAAATAATATTTATTGTACTCATTACAGGCAGTGGATTCACCTGATGTTTTTAAAAAAATTAGGAGGCTTATGAATCTTTCCGAAGATGAATTATTTATCTCGCTACATTTGTAGCTTGCGTGGCCATCGAACTGAGGGGAAAGGAGCGGGAAAAGTTTGTTGATCCGAGAGAGAAGTGTGATCCTGAGGTGGGGTAGGACTCGCGAAGATAGCGCATCGTGCGCAAAATAACTTCCCACCCCTTCCCCCCCCCCCATCCTCTCCTCCGCACCGCACGCCACGCGGTGTATTTCAGTGAAAATCCACCATAAAGCACGAATTGGTCAAGAAATTTAACAGAGTACCCTCTTTGTAGCACCATCTAGTGAGGCGTCCGCCATTGAATTCTGTTGATACGAAGGTGAAATTCGATCAATGTAATTTGAAGATTTTCAGTGGTGCTGTCTCGGAATAAGTTAGACCCCGTTTCAATCACAAAAATACATGCAGTGGCTTGACGCAAAGTCTTTGGTCCCATGGCTGAAGTAACTAGTTCTCATTTATTTCATGGTGCGACATAAAACGCTCAACAGCGAGCCACGATTATGTCAGTAATATAGATTTTAAGGCTCTGTTTACAATCGCAAGCAATTGGTAAAGCTCGTAAAGGGGATACAGGCTATGTCGCAGTATATTGAGTGGTTGTAAATCACCTTTCACTTAAAAAACAGCATTTCAATTAGTAATAGTAATAATAATAACGGGGACAGTGAACACTCCACGTGGTGGCTCTTGTCATCCACTGTTCCCAGGTGGAATTGGATCGTAAAATGTTCGATTTTCTGAAGGGAGGAAAAGTGAAGGACCCGGAGAAAAACCCCGCAGTACGAGAACCGACCATAACAGACTCGACCCACGTGTGACACCAGGTCCGGGAATCGAACCCAAGCCACAGCAGTGGGAGGCGAGCGCTCTCAACATTGTAGGTAGAAGAACACTAAAGTAGGAGAAAGAAAACAGAAAGGAGTGGGTATAATAAAAGATAGAGTGGAAAGATGCGGGTTGAGGACTTCACGAACTGGAAAAATTTAGGTTTGTTTTTCTATCATCTGTCTTCTATCATCTGGTTTGAGACATCGACTGGACACGTTTGATTGTTTTTTACCTTGTGGTTATTAAAACAAGATAACGCCTCTAGAATCAATGAGGATTATGTCAGTTTTAAGAACAATGCAAACCTTTATGTGAAGAATAAAAAACAAAGAATAAAAAAAGCTGAAAAGGGTGGAGAAGCATTCGGATGGCTTCAGCCAAGAGGTAGGTTAAAGGAGGGCAAAATTTCAAACTTTCTGCTCATAAAGAGGTTAAAAAAAAAAGACAAAGATTTTTAATTTAGAAATGACTGTTTTTAATACCATTTACAACTTTCCTGTACATGTTTCTAGTTGTTAATGTATATAATGGTCATTCAAATTTGAGACATTCCTTTCAGCTTGAAGGGTTTGAACACTATACTAATTCACTACCAAGGTAGGCTGTTTTCCTACTGAACCCTTTACTTCCATAAGTGACCAGTAAGTACTTTCTCCAAAAAACATAAATTGATTGTCAAGCAGAAAAGTGATTGAAAGGAAACATAAAAATCACCTGGGGGATATGGTTTGACTTTAAGCCAAATTATATGAGCTTGAATGATGAAAACGATGGAAAGGTGTCATCAATTAATTCCTGGTATGAAACCAGAACGAAAGACACGTCGATAAAGTTATCATCATTACCGTGGGCTAGTGAAGTACAGAATCAATTCTCCCCACCGTAGGGAGAATTGACTGTGTAATCCTGGAAGTGAAAGGATTAAACATGGAGGAATATTATGACCTCCCCCGTCAGGCGTAGCCGGAAGGGGGGGGGGGAAGTACACTCTCTGATAACCAATAATGTGTTAGTCTACTATGTTCCTAATTCTCACATAGATTCAATCTATTACAACACTATAATAAACTACTACGGTCTCGGTAATAGTCACACTATTTTTAACACATTATACAAATAAATAACGATCAACTTCACTAAATAAAGTAAGGCATCCCATGGTGCACCCGAGTCACGCCACGCACTAATTAATACACAATACAAGCATTTGCATGGCATAGGAGACCTGTTTCTAGCTTTAAAAAAACATTCAAGTTGTGATTTTTTGCGAGACATTCGATTGCTTTCACCTCAAACGAACAATTGAACCTGCAATACAATTGCACCACAACGCTACTTGCAATCACTGCCAATTGTTACAATGCACCAAAAATTCCTCTAACATGATAGAGCAATTCTCAATTGACTGTTGAAAGTCATTCGGTATTGCTTTAGTTTTGTTCTATTTCGTTACGGGATTGGTTCAGAAAATTCACCCTACTTTATCAACCAATCAGATTCGCGCTCAGTTTGCTTGCCTTTAATTCGAGTTCTAATTGGCTCCTTGTGGTACTTTCCTTCCTTCTGATTGGCTGTTGTGATTGCTTTGGTTTTGGTTTTACGACACTCAATCAAAATCCGCTCTGTAAGTGACCCAGCTACTTACTGTTTTAGTTATCAGGTGGCAGCTACCAGTTTAAGGTAGTTCTGACAGACAGATGATCAAAGATACAATTTGATAGCTGCATTCAAACAAATACAAGGAAAACAATATTTTTGTTTTGTTAACATTATTTTGTGATAAATTCTCAAACTGCTGATCATTAGCAAGTACGAAATAATTAAACAAAATGTCAATACTATTCAATATATGCTCTTATAAATTAAAATATTAAATAGGTTACTCTTTACAATATTATTTTCTTGTCTGTCTCTCTCCCTTTTTAAGACTTTGACAACTGAAAAAGGCCAGCTTTGTTTCTCTACTGATAAAAACGATTAACCACCAGTCTTAAAATGTTACTCTTTTTAAGATCGTCGAGGTTTTTGTTTTGATCGTTTGATTACTAAGAATCGATATTCTGTTCAAGTTAGATTCCCAAGTACCATCTATAACAACTTCACATTTGCAAGCCATCTTATGTATCTGGATTCAAACATGCAGACTTAAAAAAAAAAGAAAGGGAAAATGTTAAACGAATGTTCGATGGCATTCGGTTAAGGTTAATTTCTTCTTTATCACAAGACAGTCAAGTCTGGACACAGATAAACCCTAATAACATATCATAATAATACCTTCAGAATCAATGGTCACAATCTAGACCATAAATTAAACTATTAGTAACAATACATGTCTATGTATGGACCAGCCAGGTAATTGACAGTTAAATAACTTAACATAGTATTCATTAGTTGATCTCTCATTCTTTGTGAATCAATTTTTTTTTTCATAGTTACAACTTTAACATTCCGCAATAAGTGTAAGTCGACAACTTCTCTTACAAGATGACTGTTAGAGACTGGGTGAAAAAACATCCACTAAACAAAATCTACAAAGGGAAACACCTGTAAGATGTGCTTCTGTTCAATGAAAATATGGGATAATACCGTTTTGGAACATGTTTTTTCCTCGAAATCAGAGTGCCCCATGAATAGAGGTTTGACGAGAGAGGATTCCATTGCACTTTCTCTACAGTGCAGTAACGAATTTTAATTTATTCACAGTTTCATTCAAATAACTCTAACTTTGCGATATAGATGAGAGGGGCGAGAAATCTCTAAACAATTTAAGAAACCCACTGCTGGTCAGACCGAGAAAGTAAGTGCCACAAAATCAGTGTTATGTAAGCATAACACTGGTTGCCAGAAGTTAAACAGTTCGCTATTTACAACGGTGGCCTGGGACTCGAACTGTGGACTTTGAGGCATCGGTTCAAATTATTAGAAAAGGAAGCCAAACATGTTAAAATAAACACGCTTTTTTCAAGACATCTGGCTAAAACGTATTAGTCACGTGTTATGTAAAACATGCGTTTTAGACGTGGGAAACCTGACGAGAAGCCTCGCAAAACCGTGCACACAGATGAAAATTATATCTGAATATATGTACAATTCCTCTCTTAATTGGGATGTTCTACAAATGTGATTTTCCTCAACTACTGTTCATCAAAGTTACTCACCGACCGCCCCTTAGTCTGTCTAAAGGAAGAGTAATTAAATGATCCTGATATTTTCGAGCAATCCTTATCAGATTCAAACGAAGGTTTGTCTGAAATTGACCGTTTAATCCTGTGTCTTGTCTTGGACACACGCGAGGGAAGGCCAAAACAACCGCGCCTCAGAATCAAACGAGAATTCCCCACAGCGGGCCTTGATATAGTTTGTGTGGTGAGCGCAGTCAAATGAGCTGCATAACCGTCTTTGAGAAACTGAAAACAAAGAAAGAGATTCTTTGTTGACTTAATATAACCCTTCAGACTTGGTCAATGAGGATCCGCTGCCATTCTTAGATGGAACGCTAATATTGTAGACAGGCAAACTTGTAATTCCAAGGGTATGCGAGGACTTCCTCACGCTTGAGATCTCAACCTAGGCCTGGTTATGAAAAGAGCGGATAACGCTATCAAAAGGATAAATCGCTATCGTAGTGCGCTATCCAGAAACCGGAGTTAACCACCGGCCTGATGGACCACTGGCTCGTAAACAGACTTTACCTTTACCTAGTGCGCTATCCACCGTACAGAGATTCATACAGTTGATAGCGTCATCCACCTTTCCAACAACCGAGGCCTGGTGTTTAGAGCAAATTTATCCTATTGTGCGCAGGAGGTTTAGAAATATAGAAAAAAAAAACAACTGGAAGGTGTGTGAAAAGACCGAGAGGAACCTATCAAAACTGATACCACTCTGTCGACAAGTAATCCTCTACATTCGCACTTCAATCGCACGCGCGTTCAAACTCGCACCTCAGAGAATCACCTTAACACGGGCTATTGGAACATTTTTTGTGTGCCACTGTAAGGCACCTATCAGAGTAAAAAAATTACCTGAGTTTGTTTGGAGTATTTCCTTGGATGGTATTTTCCCACAGTGTATATCTGATGCGGTTGAACTCCAATTGACGAGTATACTGATATGTCTTTTACTGATCCATATGCAGCGTGGATCTGTACTTGACACTGCCAGACACAAAGCAAATTAGGAAATTTCTCTAAAAAATAAACCTGCGGGCAGAGTATTTTCCATGGCTTAGTATGCGCGAGTCTCCTTTCCTTCGAGAATAAAGCCTGAGCCTATTTAATTTATTAGAAAACTATAACTCTCTTGAACGGTTTTTAGATTTGTCGTGGTCATTCGTTCCTTGATCAATTTGTTCAGATTATTCGTGCGTTATTCGTTCGTCGTGCGATACGTGCGTTCGTATCTTCGTTTATATTCACTTATAATAGTCGGTTCATTCCATTTCCGTTCTTTCGTTTGTTAGCATAATTTTTTCCCTCTTTGGTCATTCACAACACAGATAGTTACTTACATCACTGATAAGGTATCGAAGAAACTCAGTTTTATGTCTCTGAAGATCTTTTGAGATTCCATCTCCAAACGAAACTAGACCGTACGGAAAGTTGTGCTCAGCCAACCAAGACATGACTTTAATTTTCTGAAAATCAGGCCGACTTGTGACGTACACGATTAGGAATCCTAGCTCCTGCCAGTGTCTAGAAGAAGACAAAACACTTAACTGATGAGGGAATAGCGAGGACGTAAACAATTTTGTGTGGGAAGGGTGTATAAAAATCATTTAATAGGCTAAATTACGCACGCAGTTTGATTGGTTCTAGGTCATGAGCTATTAATGGATAGACACATAAATGACGTCACCATGTACTTAGCTGCGTATCGTGTGCCACATATTTGTTCTTACCGCCGTTTGACGTCATCTCTGATCAATTACAGAACAGAAGCACGGCTATATAGAATCTATTTGTTTAACAACAACAGAGAAAGAAAGCCGGAAGGTGTCTCTAGAAAGTGATAAAGTTGAGTGAGGTGATCTTTCATAACAAGAACCTGTTGGGAGGCAAAACACCAATTCAAAGACAATAGAACATTTCCCACACAACACTCAACTTACCTAACGACATCCACGGCGCCTGCGCGGACCTTCGGGTCTTTACCACGAATGGAGACGCTGGCCGCAAAAGAGCCGTCGATACTGAAAACCACAGCCTCAGTCTTAGGTGGCAAAACAGCCACGTTACTGTCTATCCAAGTATGATCACCTCTGGAAAAAAGAAAAACAAGATTGAAAAAACCAAAGCTTGACTCATTCACACAATTTGGTTGATGCTGATAGAGAACAGAGATGGCGACTTTATGATCGTTTATGTCTTTCGGAGAGAGGGACAAAATAAATTAATCGTGTTCCTGGTTCTTATTGCCAACCAACCTTTCTCCTCTCTCGCGAGCAACAAGCCCTTTCAAATTCTACATGCGACTCAAATTGCGGCAAGAATCGTTCTTAAAGCTGATGAAACAATCCTCCTGTGTGATATTTAGATCATATAATATCTCTTAATCTTCTAAATACTAGAGGCCATTAGGATACACCTTCCCCTCACAATATTAACACATTATCGGCAAAACAGGTGATGCAAGTATACAAACCAACCGGTTAGAGGGTGTTATTTGGATATCACTCCAAATCACTCAACATATTTACAAGGAAACAGCTAGAGGCCAGAGGGGAGAATTTCTAAGCAGATCTATGAAGTAAAAAGGTCAGACCCACTACATTCCTAGTTTGATCAATGACAGTTCACACACCTGACGATCAACTTTGTTGGGTAAATGCCAACCGGAAGTTTCTTCTCTTCAGGAATAGTACACGATAGCCTTCCTCCGCTTCCGGTAATCACGGTGTCGAATAAAACATACTCTCCAGAGGGAGGCTCGGTCATGACATAGATATCGACCTTCAAAAGAGCAACAGAAACAAAGAATTAGCCAAAGAAAAAAAAAAAAGAAAAAAAAAAACAGCCTTTGTGGCGAGAGTTTATTCCAGTTTCAGTATCACGAAGTGAGTGGGAACTTTTACTAGATACCTTCTTGCATGGGACACAAATTTGAGTGCCTACTTGCATGCAGTATTGCAATTACTCTCTAGCTATTTCCTCCATTGGCAGGGATAATTTGTCTAGATTTAAGGGTGTGTCCGCTGAGTTGATGTTGCAGGCTCCTCATGGATGGGACGACAGGTATAGTTCAAAGAAACGTACCAAGTTGCCCTTTAGCACGTTATAACGTTATATCCCTACCAAGAGGTTTCCTGAAATTTGTGTCCCTACTCGACAGTAGGTTTGCACCGATATACACTTAATGCATTTGAAAGCAACTGCGATAAGTATTACCCCCCGCCCCGTACTGTACAACATAAAGAATTTCCTAATTCGAAAACCCAAAAGCGAAAGCAGTTACAACAGCCAGTCAATACAAGGGAAAAATTACAAGGAGCCATTAGAAGCTAAGCACATGCAAATGCTAAGAAGAGGACAACGCAGGTCCGAAGCGTGGCGCGAGTTTGCAAACCGTAGCGTGCCGTAACGTAGCACAACGTGACGTGGCGTGGCGTGAGTTTCCAAAACCAATCAGAGAGCGTACTGGGACCATCATGAAGAGTTCATTACCTTCTCACCGCTAAGAGACACCATATCTAGAGGTCCATACATGAATCTGGCCGTGAGAACCTGATCAAGACCTTCAAGGGTTACCAAATCATTGGCTCTATGGTTAGCATTCAGGTTCTGCCGAGGAATCAAAATGAATGATGATGATAAGTAATGTTCTTCATGACTAACGAAGTGGCTTCAGGCTGTTAATTAACCATCAGTAGGAAAGATACCTTGATTTTGATGGCAGTTCTTCGTTTCAACCACTTTTCCCTGGGTTGGGAAGGACAAAACGTCTGACATTTTCTGTTGGGAGAGGACGCACTTGAAATGTCCCATTCGCCATGAAGAATCTAAGCGAATGAAAAACGGATATCAAAATTAAGATTCACCGATCAACAAATCAAATAAACACAATGATGAATTTTCTGTGGAAGCTTCAGCTACCTTACCGCCCCGTCAACTCTGTGTTGCAAATTATGCTACAGAGTGATGACAGAGGTGGAGTCTTGGCAAAGAGAGTATAGCAAGAGAGATTATTAGCGACGAAACCGGTTTATACCTGTCTGACAACAAACGCAGCCACGTCATTAGACTCCCAATAACTGACATGGAAGAGAGGCGAGAGTACAGCTGTGGGAAACTGTTGAAGTCCCTCGGGGCAATACAGCGCGTAATCGACGCGCTTAGTCCCCCACCAGTTTTGAACAGCTACAAAAAGAGAAGGAAGACAGCATTTGGATCAACATATAACACACAGTCATATTGGTGGAACGTGGTAAAGAAAAACCAAAGCAATCCTAGATTACTTCAACCCGAAACGCGTTAATACATATATATATATATATATTGATACTCTCCACACTACTTTCTTTACATTTACTGTGACAATGACAAGGAGAATCTGTTTAACAATCAAGGGGCTTTCTAAATGATTGATCATTTCAGAGTTAAACAGACAATTAAAACCGAATTACTCTACTTGCAAACTTTGAGCCAAATGGTACATTTGTTGACTAAATTCCCGATTAGTTAAGAAGAGAAAAGCTTAACGAGATAAAAGAATTAAACATACCCATATCCAGATCAGTCCCTCCAGAACTGTCACAAGATACCAGACTTATCGTACTCAGGTTGCTCTCTCGTTGAACCATACCCGTAAAGGACCGGGAGCTTGGGGTCAAAGGTGTTTGAGGAACAAACAACTCGGGGTAAGCACCAATGACGTTGCTGAGTAGATGTGATTGGCCATCACCCAGTGGGAATTTGTGATAACGAGGTACTTTGACAGCCGGAATTTGAGAAAACGGACTCACGATCAAAGGTTCGATTCGGGATGCTGATGGGTCAAACGGGTGAAACAGGTTGTAAACCTGGTTACAAGCAGGTTTGGGCGGAAGGGCTAATAGCGAGAGGAAATAAAAGCAGTATTAGAAAAGGCTGCAAGAGCTGTTCCATACCTCGCCCTTGGGGAGGAACACTAAGCAATGATTCACGTGGCTTCTTTCCCGCGGGCGCAAGCGCAACAAAATGTCCAGGGCGTGGATTTAACGGTCGCACTAGCTTTTGAAACAATTGATACAGTCCGTGAGATAATTTTGAAACAGGGCTTAACTCTTTCCACCCTAAGGTTTGTACGTATATTCTACATTTTGTTCTCTACACATTTCTCCGGGTACTGACCACGAGAATCTGTTTAATGGCGATCATTTCCTTTATTCTTGGGAACTTAATTCTTGATTCAGTAAGATATTGTGAGGAGAATTTAGATGAGGTTCACACAAACCCAGTTCTTCTCCTGACGATAGAGGTCTTTCTTATCGTCCGCGCCGTTCATGATCGTTTGGCCTGGCATCTGTATATTCATCCAGATGGCATAGCGCATTATTTTTCCTTTCTTAGCGATTCAAAGATCACGCGAAAACCAGCCTTAAAAGCACTGCGAGTTTGGGACGCAAAATTCTGATGATAAATTCTTACCAAGACCGCCCCTGTCCTCCCCATTCAAGAACCTTCGATATGCTAACACGAGACCAATGGGTGAACCAAACGCGAAAAACTTGCCGACTTCAAAATCGAACATTACGTTGTCCACCGATTCTACCGACAGGGACATAGTGTCGAAGCTAAACGTATGCTGTCTGGCCGCCCTGCTGAGGGAGCCTGGTGAGATCATAACATTGTCTTCCATCTCATCCACCGGTGAAGTAATCATCTCGTCTGTCTCGGGGTTAACGTTCTCTCGGATGTTCCCACTGCTTAGGCTAAAACGAAGATTGTGAGAATTCTCCAAGCTGCTCTTACAGGGAGGAGTGTGACTACTGATCCGTCGAGGTTTCCTGATCACACCGCCGTTTGATTCTGCGTTTTCCTGTGCAGCGAATGACGCGGCTTTAGGGGAAAGTGTCGACGTGTTTGAGATGAAACTTTGCGTGGTGTTGACACCAGAGGTTAGGGCATCGTAAGCGAGCAAGGCACCTATACAGTCGCCAAGGAGGCAAACCTGAAGCAGAAATACAAAAACAAAAACACGATTTCAGATAATTCAGTCGAACCCCTGTAAAATGAGTAATCATCGCTTTTTAGCTGTTGGCTAAGAAGCTACATGTATGGTGCGTCTCTCTTCCCAAATGTATTCATGTTGAGTTAATTCTGGGAAAATCTACGAATTGAAGGAGTGTTTAGTGACCTTCAAGAAGTACCCTTTACAAGAAACGCTGTGCAAGCCAAAAACAGAAGAACATAATTTATGCAAAAAAGGCGCACAAGTCTTAGTAATTCCTGAAAATCATAAGTGAAAGTCAACACTATAAAAAAAACCCGCTTGATGATAGGTGTCACCTTTCGTTTTCACACACGCGAGAAGTGGAGCTGGTTTTTTCACCACACATCCTCTCGCTTGTTATTTACCTTTCGCTCTCACCTTGCATTTACCTCCACTCTTCTAAAAGATGCAGAAAAAAAGCACAACTCCACCTATCCCGCTGGCTAGTATAAAAGTGTAATAGTTTTGAACTGACCTCTCCACGAAAGCCTTGGCCTTCGTCGGACTTCAAGAACTCTCTGTACACCATGTTGGTGGCAGCTACCATGGAGTTCACTGCCTCATCATAAAATGGCGAGGACGAAACCATCAGCGATATCGCACTCAGAGGAAAACTACTGGAGACTGGGGTGAAGCCGCTATTTACACTAGCCACGTCTGAGGAAGTGAAAATCGTATGTATCATTATTTCATTGCATTGCTTACCCTAAATAATGAACTGGTTTTGAGGGAAATTTAAGTTATTTTATCTTTTTTGAAAAACCTCAGAAACTTCACTTTGGTTTTGACAAATGTTTTGGACATCGTAATACATAAATTTTATCCTTTTTCACAGCTTCATAAAACCATCTCCTCCGATGTTACGACCACGTTGTCATGCAATACGGCAGTAAGGCAGTTCTAAGTGCACATACTGTCATCGTGCGGTTTTGCTCTGCCAATAACAAACCACAATTCTTACCCGAGTCACTCTCTGAATAGGGGCACAGCTGAGACAACAGATTAAGAGCCTTGGAGCAGATGGCAGGGCACTCGACGAGCCTCAGTGCGATCTTTCCTTCTGCTCCTCTGTAGTGCGAGTTTATCACAGCCTCGAAGGCATCCTGAAGTAGTTTAAAGTCCATTTCACGTGACGAAGGATCCAGTCCTGTGTCAATTTGTGTGCCGCCGTTAATGACCAGAATGAGATTGGTGATGCGAGATGCTGGTAACGAGCACGTCGAAGTATCACTGACTTTCTTACAAAGTTTTTCTTTTCTTAACAGCCGAGGTGACTAAAAAATTAAAAAGGAAGTGAAAGTTAAGGTAAAATAATTTGTAAGAATTTGCTTCAGGACCCTCTTCTTTGAAAATCGATCATCAGTACATGCGCGCAATTCTTTTGAATGTCGAAAGTAATCTTTAATTACTTTTTTCTGCCTCATTTCACTCTTTTATTGGCTACGGAAACCCAGCACATCCTTTCAACCAATCAGACTAACACCGTTCGTACCTTGACGGCGCGTTTTCCCGCGTCTGACGCGGTTTAAGTTGGTTTACGTCTTTTTCACCTGAAGTTCTCATTGGTTTGTTATGATGTTGACCTTTTTTCTGATAGATTGTTGGAATTAATTTAGCTATCACATTACTACACAATTAATTAGAGGCACTCTTTGGCCCCCGTTGGCCTTCTTTCCACAATCCTTTCCGAGATGTCTCTAACGAGCTGTATTTATTAATAGCGTAACTTTAACACCCTTTACTAATTTTACCTTGTCTACGCTCTGCTCAGACGCTAGTGAGTCTAACGACTCTCTACTACCCCGAGAAGAATCTGTGTCCAACTCTAAACTCTTAAAACTGTTACCCAGTTCCACGTTGCGTATGGTCAGCAGATTTGAACTATAAGCATGCTCCTCAAGTTCCTCTGCAATGGAGACGGGAAAGAAAACAATGGAGACTGTTAGTAGGACAATAACTCCCGACAGAACTCTTACTGTTTTAAATTTGCTTAGTTATTCTCTCCATAAACAATAAGAAACTTTAAAGCACATATCGCAATGCGGTATTGTTCAAAGCTGTTCGTTCATACTGGAAGTGTCTAGCCTTGTCAAAATTAAAGACAGAGTCATATGAAAGATTCCCCTTGATTCACAACAACCACTCCGTAATGTCTCGAGATTTGTACAAAATGAATAACATGGCCCATAAAGTTCCTTAAAACTTAAAGCTAACACGCTCAAGAAATGGTAGCCACATCGAGTCTGATATTTCAATTCGAAGTCCATCGTGAATTTGAGATAAATCAAATGCGAATGTTTCAGTAAATGGTTGACATTAATAATCCATCAATATTCCATGAATTGCATTAATAAGCTATTAATATCTCTAGGAGGGTTGTAGGGTGTCTTTCTGGACTGGAAACTTTCAACAGGGTTTAAATTAGGGTGGCACGGGGTCCACATGAATGTTACTGACAATTTTTCCACAGACTTTAAAGCATACTCAGTATATTGGAAGTGGCTCTAATTCACACGTATTTTCACCGGTAAAAACACGAACGGATTTCCTTTTAGACACGGTTAGGACTAAAATGTAACAACGGCACACCGTCATCCGCACTACCTGAAGAGCCCCACCCCCACCCTCACCCCTTCCCCTATGAAAAAAGGCTCAGCGGAAGGGAAAATTGAACATACCTTGAGCGTCGAAAAATTCGTCATCCGCTGAATCCGATTCATGGGCTTCAATTGCACTCATATGCCAACCTTTTAACATATCAGAACGTGACAACCGTTTCTCAGCGGTAGAATTTATTATGTCTGTCTGAGCTACGCCATTGTATTCAACACCGTTCGAGTTCCCTGTGTTATCATCGCTATCAAATCCGAATTTTTCCACCGTGATTGCGACGGGCGAAGGGGAGGGAACACTCTCGTTTTCGTCGAGTGAAGCCTTGGAAATTAGTTCTAACCTGGAGGTGTTATTGTTTTCTTGAACATAAACAACACTCCCTCTACCTTTGTCGTTTGCAAAGCCCTCTTCTTGGTCGCTGTCTCTATCAGAAGCAGTGTTAGATATACCGTGGTCGGACAATCTGCACATTTTTATGGCTAACACCCTCTGTGTTTCTTCTTCTAATTTTCGTATATCCTCAATTGTCAGTCCAAACCACTCATCCTGCCACACCCATGCTTGTCTGTGACCCATTAGCATCGGGCGGCGCAGACCAGAGTGAATAAAATGTTCCATTTTATTCTGAAAAAGAAAAAACGGAAAGGAACAACAAAAACTGTATAAACATTTTAAACATAAAAATAAAGCTTGCTCTCTTCAACAGGTTCAGGCAGGTACCTTTGTCCACCACAATCTACAAGCTACAAAACAAAAAAAGCCTTTTTTAACAAAATTTACCTGCATTCCCCAGTATCTGAACTCAACCTTTATTAGCTTGTATGCACACATCACATCAGAGGGAGGCTTTTCAACTCTGTACTGCTCCAGCCAGTTCTCCTTCATAGGGCCCCGCCCTGTTTTAGTAGATTGATACAACAAGGGATCCTCTTCTTCTGAGTAGTCCGAGGACGACACTTGATCCTTAATTGGGTCAATTATATCTGTAAAACAATTTCCACAAAGTCAATTGGCTGGTGAGCTTAGGAATAAGGATGATAGCAGAAATCTCCTAGCCAATAGCAAATGAAAGAATTTTATTTCATGAAACTAAAAGAAAAACAAATTCATTTTGATTGACATTTAATATTTGGCAGCTTCAAATGACCTGTAGCTACAAACTTGCTTACAAGTCTATACAATAGTCATTCTAGAAAAAACAAACCTCAAAGTAGTACACTCACCCACTTCCCTTCCTTGCAAGTCCACTGGTGACAAATTAAATACATTTTCCTGAAAGAAATTATACACTAAGCTGAGAAAATATTTAAAATCCACATAAACTTTTAACAAGTTTTTTTTTCAAAGACTGTTTATAATTCAAACTCAAAGCACTCTATTCGGTTGCTATCAATAAAGATTGGCAGTTACTATCATAATGACATGGTGCAAACAAGTGACGAGAGAATATCAAATGATCCTCTAGCATATATTTATGATGTAGAAAACACAGTGGTATTAGAACTAAAATGAACTATCATAATAGAGAAATATGCACCTGCTGTCCCGCATCAGGATAATAATATGTTTCTACATCAACAAAAAACTTCTCTACAAAAGGACATGTTGTCCTCATCTTGGTATAAGGATAGGCATTCCATGCCTCTTCTTCAACTCTTAAGGCTGCCTTTGGTAGAATTGCTTTTAGCCAGCTGGGTAAATGGTTTCCAATGTGATAGAGTTTTTTTGTGTATTGTCCATTTCCTCCAGGGCCATTTGTGTAGGGTGTATTTTCGAGAATCTCAACTCCGCTGCCCTCACCAACACTATCTAGTCTACTCTTTTTCTAAAAGAAACAACAGAAGGATTAGATGAAAACTGATTTTACCCACTTTTTAATTAACTCTGTAAGTAAATAAGGTAATTGATAGATTGAAATTAAAGCCTTTTGATACCACAGACATAATACCTCAGCTATTCTATCAGTTGACAGATTAAAACAAGCTTGAAATCTCTCTCACATGCATCAACTCTCTTAATTTATGCAAGAACCTCCTGGATACAGTCTCCATCGCAGTGTGCAATCTGGTAAATTTCATCTTAAATCAAGATTTCTATTCAAATTTTTCCTGATGAATGCTCCATCTTTAAAACCAACCACATTGATAAACTTTAAAAAGATGAAGAAACTGTAGATACAATTTTGTGATTTAGGTAAGAATAAATTAGATGAAGTGATGGGCTGGTCATGATGCAAGATTCCAGCCAACAGGATGACTTTTCAGAAAAAAGATCAACATACTAAGAAAAACTAAATCAATTACTGGTGTAACTACTATGGCCAGCATTACACCTCAAAACTTTCATGAGTATTTCTTTGCCAGTATTTCTTTCATGAGTATTTCTTTCCAGGTCGCAGCTCTGGCACTTTGGAATGCATTACCACGTGAGATTCCTTCTATTATAGATCTAGGGATTTTTAAGTGCCACCTGAAAACGCACCTCTTTAGGGAAGCTTTTTATTAATTTTTATTAAAATCTTATCATGATAATTGGTAGTATCTTAACGCATGCTGCATGCTTTAATTTTATCATAGTATATTTTTAATAACTCAGTATTATTGAGATGTAATGTGCACTTGATCATTTCATGGAAAGTGTGCAATATAAGAATTAAATTACTATTATGATTATTATTTGCCATAAAGACATCAAACCCATTCTTTTCTTAAAAAACTGATTGGGTAAAAGTAATATGATCATATAGTGTTAATTTTGTAACTGAAAGCTAGTTTAAGCTAGTTTAAAACTAGCTTTCAGTTAAATTAACACTATTCATTTCATTTTTACACAAAATATAACTACATCAGTCTATACAGTCACATGTTTCAGCTTATAATAAATTTCTTCCTATATCCATATACAGTCAAGCATATTAACACAGCTGTTTAAAACAAAGAAACTAAAAATCAAACTGTCTTAGATTGAAAACATCTTAAGCTGAAAACCATTTTAAACTTTTACAAATTTTATTATGTATATATACAGTTTCAAAGTCAATCAAAATATGATGATTTTAGTGCAAAGGTGAACACACTGAATTAATTTTTTTTTAACTGAGCTATATATTATTTACCACTATTACAGTTCTTTGTATTAAAACAGCATTGAAAAATATTTCTATTCTAAAGGGCCCCTTTGCATTTTATTAGTAAGAAAGCCAGCAAATAAAGGGGGTAGATATCCTTAGATACAGAGTTTCCAAATATTGTGCTACAAAAGAAATAACATTTTCTTATAATTAATTGTCAATCAAAAACTACATAATGTCAGTGTTACTGGCTAATTACTGACAGATGCACCCACAGTTAAAGAAAGAAAGAAAATTATAAACCAAAATTTTTCTTTGTATCATGTAAACTTTGAAATGCATACATTACTAATGGAGCACACTGTAGAATGGGGCCCAATGTTGATCAGAACACTCAATCAGAACTCTCAATCAAATTGCACTGTAAAACATGTCTGCCACACAATCTTCCATCAAGTTACCATCATAGGAAAGTTGGTAAATTTGAAGAACAGCTTCCCAAAATATCCGTCAGCCAACTGTCAGCCGACTGCATGTTCACTGACAGTTGGCCGACATAATGAAAACAAATTTAGAAATGAGTAAATAGACTGTCATCTTGGTAAGTTTGAACTTTCACAATTACCTCAAAATGAATTTTGACAAACACCATGCAATAGAGGTAAATTTCAAGTGCGAGGCATTATTGGCCATATCAATCTTCATTTATGTGAACTTGATGTGTAGTATCTGACTGACACATTTCGTTCTGCTGAAATTGGAAGAGTTTAGTTACTTAGATTTAGCAATACGAGTAAATTTTTTCAAAGACTTACAAAATTGCACGAGCCCATGTTTTCATTGTGTTTCTGTTGTGTTTTTGTTGTGTTTTCTGTGTTTTGTTCGCCAACAGTCAGCTGATAGTCGGCAGACAGATATTTTGGGGAGCTGTTCTTCAATTTTACCAGAAAGTTGGGGAGGCATAGAATCTCTAACCCTTCCCCCCTCGAAAAATAAACAAAATTTTGAGAGGCAAAGCCCATCCATGTTTTTATGCCAAACACAGCAGTACCTGATAATGCTTCCTGAGTTATATTCTGTGGCTCACACAGTAAAAAGCTACAAGGTAATGCTATCAACTGATCAAGTTAGTTTTTCGTGAGTAAGAAACAATGAACATTCTGTTTCTCAGCCGTAAAAAAAAAGAATTCTCTAATTAATACCCTTCCATGAAATTACATTTAAAATGAGATTCCTCTCTTTCCAACCTCTAACCGTATTACCTGTACATTCCACATTCACACTTTTATTAATTATTTTATTAATTATTAATTATTAAAATGAGATTCCTCTCTTTCCAACCTCTAACCATATTACCTGTACATCCCACATTCACACTTTTATTAATTATTTTATTAATTATTAATTATTAAAATGAGATTCCTCTCTTTCCAACCTCTAACCATATTACCTGTACATCCCACATTCACACTTTTATTAATTATTTTATTAATTATTAATTATTAAAATGAGATTCCTCTCTTTCCAACCTCTAACTGTATTACCTGTACATCCCACATTCACACTTTTATTAATTATTTTATTAATTATTAATTATTAAAATGAGATTCCTCTCTTTCCAACCTCTAACTGTATTACCTGTACATCCCACATTCACACTTTTATTAATTATTTTATTAATTATTAATTATTAAAATAAGATTCCTCTCTTTCCAACCTCTAACTGTATTACCTGTACATCCCACATTCACACTTTTATTAATTCTCACTTCCCAGCAGTGAAAAAAGGCTTACAGTGTACCTAACGCTCCACCAACCCTGTGCCAGGTCATTTTGTGACTCATAATGGAAGGTCTTACGTGTGAATTTCTTTCATCCTACATACCACCAGTGATAAAAATAGTCTTATTGTGCACTCAGCTACCAAGCCTATCAATACCCTTGTACGATTATAATCAAAGGTATAAAGGCTGATAAACTGTTTGGGGCTGCGTCGGTGGGGGTAACGAAATAATTTGGTCGGAGCGAAGGG